GGAAAATACTATGAACAACTATATGCCAACAAACTGGACAATGTGGATGAAATGGAAAAATTCCCAGAAAAACACAAATTCCCAAAATTGGATCAGGAGGAATCAGAAAACCTGAATAGGTCAATAACAATTGATGAAATAGAAGCAGTAATAAAAAAAACTCCCAGCAAACAAAAGCCCCAGTACAGACGGCTTCACAGGGGAGTTTTACCAAACATTCAAAGAACTAACACCTATTCTTCAAACTATTCAAAAAAATCCAAGAGGAAGGAACACTTCCAAGCTCTTTTTATGAGGCTAGCATTATCCTAATCTCAAAACCAGATAAAGACACTACGAAGAAAGAGAATTACAGGCCAATATCCCTGATGGACATAGATGCTAAAATCCTCAACAAAATATTAGCAAATCACATCCAGCAATATATTAAAAAGGTCATACACCATGACCAAGTGGGATTTATTCCAGGGATGCAAGGCTGGTACAATATTTTCAAATCAATAATCGTGATACATCACATAAACAAATTGAAAGACAAAAATCACATGATCATATCAATAGATGCAGAAAAAGCATTTGACAAAATCCAACAACCATTTTTGATAAAAAAAAAAAACTCTCAGCAAAGTGAGAATAGAGGGAGCATATCTCAACATGATAAAGGCCATACATGACAAACCTACAGTCAACATCATACTCAATGGGCAAAAACTAAAAGCATTTCCCTTAAGAACAGGACTAAGACAGGGATGTCTGCTTTTACCACTCTTATTCAACATAGTACTAGAAGTCCTAGCCACAGTGATCAGACAAGAAGAAAGAAAAGGCATCCAAATTGGAAAGGAGGAAGTAAAACTCTCATTATTCGCAGATGACATGATACTGTACATAGAAAACCCTAAAGACTCCACCAAAAACTATTAGATTTAATAAATGAATTTGGCAATGTAGCAGGATACAAAATCAACACCCAAAAATCTATGGCTTTTTTATACACCAATAATGAATTCTTAGAAAGAGAAACTAAACAGTTTCATTTACCATTGCAACAAAAAAAAAATTAAGATACTTAGGAATAAACTTAACCAAGGAGGCAAAAGACCTGTACTCAGAAAACTACAGGACGTTGTAAAAAGAGATAGAAGAAGATATAAAAAAGTGGAAGAATATACTGTATTCATAGATTGGTAGAATCAACATCATTAAAATGTCCATACTACACAAAGCAATCTACAGATTCAATGCCATTCCTATTAAAATACCAACAGCATATTTCACAGACCTAGAACAAATATTCCAAAAATTTAATGGGATCAAAAAATAGCTGTAGCAATTTTGAGAAAGAAAAACAAAGTTGGAGGAATCACAATACCAGATTTCAAGTTATACTACAAAGCCACTGTAATCAAAACAGTCTGGTACTGACACAAGAACAGGCATATAGATCAATGGAACAGAACAGAGAACCCAGAAATTGACCCAAGCCGTTATGCTCAATTAATATTTGACAATGGAAGCAAGAGCATACAATGGAGTTAAGAGAGTCTCTTCAATAAATGGTGTTGGGAAAATTGGACAGATACATGCAAAAAAAAAAAAAAAAAAAAGAAAAGAAAAGAAAATAGACCACCAATTACACCATACACAAGAATAAACTCAAAATGGATAAAAGAGCCCTAACCGGTTTGGCTCAGTGGATAGAGCTCGGCCTGAGGACTGAAGGGTCCCAGGTTCGATTCCAGTCAAGGACATGTACCCGGGTTGCGGTCACATCCCTAGTAGGGGGCGTGCAAGAGGCAGCTGAATTGATGTTTCTCTCTCATCGATGTTTCTAACTCTCTATCCCTCTCCATCTCCCTTCCTCTCTGTAAGAAATCAATAAAATATATTTAAAAAATGGATAAAAGATTTAAATGTAAATGGTGAAACCATAAAAATCCTAGAAAAAACCACAGGCAGCAAAATTTCAGACATCTCTTGTAGCAATATGTTTATAGATACATCTCCTAGGGCAAAGGAAACTAAGGAGAAAACAAACAAATGAGACTACAGCAAAATTAAAAGCTTCTGCAGAGCAAAAGAAACCATCAACAAAATAAAAAGAGAGCCCACTGGGAAAACATATTTGACAATGATACATCTGACAAAGGGTTAATATCCAAAATATATAAGGAACTTATACAATTTAACAAAAGGAAGACAAACAATGGGCAAAGGACCTAAACAGACACTTATCCAAAGAGGACATACAGATGTCCAAGAGACATATGAAAAAATGCTCAAAGTCACTAATCATCTGAGAGATGCAAATCAAAATGACAATGAGGTATCACCTCACACCTGTCAGAATGGCTACCATCAACAAATCAACAAATGACAAGTGCTGGCAAAGATGTGGAGAAAAGAGAACCCTAGTACACTGCTGGTGGGAAAGCAGACTGGTGCAATCATTATGGAAAACACTATGGAGTTTCCTCAAAAAATGGAACTGCCATTTGACCCAGTGATCCCACTTCTAGGAATATATCCTAAGAAACCCGAAGCACCAATCAGAAAGAATGTATGCACCCCTATGTTCACAGCAGCACCATTTACAATAGCTAAGATCTGGAAACAGCCCAAGTGCCCATCAGTAGATGAGTGGATAAAAAAGCTGTGGTACATTTATACCATGGAATACTATGCAGCAGTAAAAAAGGAGAATTTCTTACCCCTTGAAACAGCATGGAGAGACCTGAGAGTATCATGCTAAGTGAAATAAGCCAGTCAGTGAAAGACAAGTATTACATGATCGCACTCATATGTGGAATCTAAGTAACAAAATAAACTGATGAACGGAGTGGATCCAGAGGTGTGGCGGGCTGGCACGGCCATGGCATACTCAGCCCCACATTGGGCACCTTATGTGCCATGCCAGCTCAGCGACCCTGAGAGGGGGTGGTGAAGGACTGAGAAAAGACAGACAAGAGAATGAAAGCTGGGTCTGGGTGGGACACTGTCCTCTCTGATGGAGAGCTTCTCTGATGGAGAGCTAGCACCACAGACTACAAGCCGTGTCTTTATTTAATAGCCAAATTCCACGAGGCAAAGTAAGGGCATGGTCAAGATGTTTACAACATTCTCATTGGTTTCGATCCTACTCAATTACATGCACCTGAACTCTATCAAGCCCACATCACTCAGACACGTGGGACCACATGAGGTTCAAGCTTACAACTATAGCTGTTGGCTATAATTGTGCTGGGAGGGCTCTGCCCTCCAAGCTGGGACTTGCACGTGGCCATGAGAGGACTGTGCCCTCTCATTAGTCCGAGGCTTGAACCTGTCCAAACACTGTAGCCGCTCTCCACACAGAGGTGTGGAAGCATGGAGCCAAGTGGGAAATCTCAGAGAGAAGGCGGGAGGTTGGGTGGGTGGGTGGGAGGTAATCAACCAAAGACCTTGTATACAAATATGCATAACTCATGGTCACAGACACTAGGGTGCTGAAGGCCTGGGGCAGGGGAGGGGGAGAGGGCGGGCTAGAGGGGGTCAATTGGGGGAAAAGCGGGACATATGTAATACTTCCAACAATAAAGAATTATTAAATTGTATATCGTCAGTCAGCAGTGACTGACATGGTACTTAACATGTTAATTAAAAAAAGAAAAAGCGAAGAGTTACCCTGGCTGGTATGGCTCAGTTGGTTGAGCATCGTCCCATATAACAAAAGGTTGTGGGTTTGATCCCTGGTTGGGGGCATGCAGGAGGCAGCTGATGGATGTTCTGCTCTCACATCAATGTTTCTATTTCTCTCTCCCTCTCCTTTCCTCTCTCTTTAAAAATCAATACAAAAAAAAAAAAAAGAATCAAAGAGTTTGTCATGGAGAATAGACAGAGAGGCATAGATGCCACTAAAATAAAGCCAAAGAGATGCTGGTGTCAGGGGAGAGGGTTGCTCAGAGCCACTGTGGGGGCTGGGGAAAATGGCTCATAGCCTCACACAACCAAGTGTGGGTACTGGTCCCCCACTTGCCGGTTGGTAGTCTGTTCACCTCTCTGGAAAGTAAGAGCCTGCCCAGATCCATGAGCCACCCTCCTCAGGGATGCCAGCTCCCCCAAACATGGGACACACTAGCTCTCTGGGGTCCATAGGAGAGGGGGCGGCAGGCTGAGCAGAGCGGCTATCTTAGCAGAACAGGGGAGGGGAATGGGTGGGTGGGTAGGAAGTGTGTATGACTCAAACTGACTTTTCAAAGCCTGGCCAGTCCCAGAGTCAGCCAGGGTAGGTCTGTTTTTTCCCCTCACCCTGAAGGTGACTTCACATCCACATTCTGTACGCAGAGGTTATTTGGGTTTTGAGTGCAGCTCTGTAAGTCCACCGGGCCAATAAAGGGCAAGCCCTCTCTTCTCCACCCTCCCAGGCCTGAGGTCCTGGGCCCCTTACGTTAGCCTTCAGGGGTGGGGGTAGGGGCCATGATGCCAGGGCCACCAGCTCAGGCCCAGAGCTCAGGCCCAGAGCTGACGCCAGGGCCTATTTTCTCCTGCTGACTTGGAATCTCACAAACCAAGCAGCAACCCTGTTTGCCTGAGACAGGCTCCCCAAATCTGGAGTTGCGGGGGAGGGAGTGAAGAGGGACTTCAGGAAGGCAGACATGGGCTCTGTGTTTTGTCATCAAAGCCCCTCTCAGTCCCTCCTACCTGGCCTCCCCCAGAACACACACATTAACCCAGGCCTGCTCTTACTTGTCCCTAAGACTCACCGTGGCCATTCTGAAATCCCTCTCAGCCAGAACCCACCCAAGGCCTGGTCTGGAAGTTCACTGGGATACAGGGAGGAGATCCAGTCAGTGTATGCTCACCTGACATTCACAATGACGTCCAGTCCGCAGATACTCACAAGGACACACACTTCTCAGACGAGGCTCAAAGACATAGCGACAAGAAGCCAACCCCAGCTGGGTCTCTCCCATCAAGCCTGCTGCCCGTTCCCAAGTAGCCAAGAGACAGGCCCCACCTACCTGCTTGTCCTGCAGGTCCGAGGAGAGCTCATAGCTCTCAGAGAGGGAACGTGAGCGCTTGATGGCCTCCTCCTCGGCCTGCTTGCGCAGGATGGAGGTCGAGTGCTGCAGCTTGGGCCTCCGTGTGCGCTGCCCCAGTGGCCCTGAGTACAGCCCATAGGCACCCACAGACGTGTGCTCGTAATGGTCCGGGCTCAGGCTGGAGCCAGGTGCTAAGGGGTCCTGGTGATAGGCCGAGGGACTGTCCAATGATGTGCAGGTCTCACTGCTGGGGGCCTCGCCCTCCACACTGTAGAAGAGAGAGGAGAGAGGCCTCCAGTGAGCAGGAAACCAGAATTCAGAGCATTTCGGGGCACCAGGAGGTAGGAGGGGGTAATGTCCAAGAGGCAGCCTACCACATTGCAGTGGGACTCCACACCCCTAGTCTTCCTACTTCCCCTCACACTCCTACAGTCGACCACCCTGTACAGCCAGAGGGACCCTGCCAAGACTCTCTGCTCCACATCTTGCTGAGGCTCACCTCCCTCAGGGTTCATTTTCTCTGTAAAACTTATCACCTTCTAACATCTAACACTTTACTGATTTTGCTTACTGTCCATCTCCTACACAAAAATGTCAATTTGTGAGGACAGATGTTTAGCCCATTGATACACCTAAAGCAGGGCCTATACACAGTAGGTGCTCAGTAAGATTTACTCACTGACTGAATGGACCCTGTCACTTCTTCTCCCTCACTCCTGCCATCTGCATTAAGTAAACCCCTGATTTTGTAGTTTCGTTTTTTTTAAAAACAGTAATTAACAAAAGTGACTCTTTATTGCACCTACTCAGGGATCATGAAGTACCCCCAGTACTTCAGAATATGCCTTTATTTGAAGGTAGGGTCTATAAGAGATAATTAAGTTAAAATGAGGTCATTACAGTCCTAATTCAATATGACTGGAATCCTTATGAGAGATACTAGGACACAGACACACACACAGGGATGAGCATGTAAGGACGTGGCGAGAAAGTAGCCCTCTATATGTCAAGGAGAGAGGCCTCAGAGAAAGGAGCCCTGTGACACCTTGATCTCAGACTCTCAGCCTCAGGAACTGTGAGGAATAAACATCTGTTGTTAGAGCCTGTGGCACTTGTTCTGATGCAGGGACTTGCCCTAGGTTGCATAGATAGTGAGTAGGATTAAAGCCCAAGTTGGTGGGACTCCCAAGACCAGGTGCTCCCTTCCACCTCCTGCTCCTCATCCCCAGGACACATATATATTCTCCCAAAGTTCCAAGCACCAGGGCTGATGAGGGGAATGGTTGACTTCATCCCAAACTCATGAACTCAGCTGATGGACACTGGTTACCACTGCAGACTGCTCTTCAGCATAGGACACGGAGCAAAGGGAGAAATTTATACAAGATATTTCTAACACAGCTTCTGGTACACCTCTAGTCATGCCTTTCCATTTGCCTGTCCCTGTAGAGTATCACTCAACCTTTACAAAACCCTGGGGCCAGGGCAGGGTCTCTCTGGGGCCCAGTACTTCAGAGAAGGGATGCAGGCTCTTCCCAGGCTACTGTCCTTCCTCAATACTCCCATCTGCAGACTAATGGGAAAGCCTTGCATTCAAGAGCCTCGGGGTCAACTGGTTTAGCCCCCTTCCATTGCCCCTACTTGTCACAGGGATTGGCAGGGCCATACTGCCAAGTGTAGAATGTGAGAATGTTCACTGACTCCTAGGTGAGACTCAAAGTAGGGGTTAGGGAAGGGGACCCTGGAACAGAGAGGGCCAAGACAAAGGCAGCAGACCAATGCAGTCTATTCCAATTCTGCCCTGAGCCAGGTCTGGGTGGCCAACTCATAATACAAAAAGACTTCCACTCCACCAACTGGCCCTGCTTCCAGGAACATGCAGTGGCTGTCCTGTGACAAAGGACATCCCATTCTGCTCCCCAGAGCTAAAGTGTGACTAGAGGTCCTTCTCTGGGGAAGAGCCCTGGGCTAGAAGTTAAAAGACTAGGTGCTTTGCCTTGATCTGGCTGTGAACCAGGGTGGGTCAGTTCTCATTTCAAGGGCTAGATGCCTTTGAGGGATCAGAGGAATGAAAGGGATGGGGACACACAGAACTTAAAATGCTAGTATTGTTTTTACTAGGACAGTAAAGGGGCTCTGTAATAAATCTAGCCAAAAGTAACCTCACAGGGTGATCTGATCATAAATTCCTAACAGGGCAGGTCATGGTGGGTAGTCATGCCCCAGACCTATAAAAGACTTATCTTTTCCTTAAGCAAGCCCTATCCAAAATGCCTTTTTCAGAGCCCTCAGAAGTAATCATCCTCAAGGAAGCACATAATCTTAACTATACTGTACCTTGTTTTCTCTCAACTTCATGTAAGCTTCCTCTATTCCCTCCTTAATTCCAAATGTATAAAAGACACTGCAAAACTGTTATTCTCTGAGCATTTGAGATCTTACTTCCCAGCATGTCTTTAGTTTGGCTCAAATAAACACAAAAATTCTCTACAGGTTTGGACATTTCTTATATCAACATTTACTTGGTGTAGTAATGCAGGATTCTGAAGAAGCCCACCCAGGACTACCCTGCAGACAAATAACTGGGGTACCCCATGTGCCCCACTGGCTCCCCGTGTCACATTGGGTACACTTGGATGAGTTTTCTTTTGAAATCCTGGACCTCCCTGTTTTAGGCAGCTGATCCTGAATTTATCCGAGCTGCTCTTAGAAAATTCTTGAGGTAGAAAAGGGTTGAGATAATCCAGGGAAAGTAGAGTAAAATGGGTTGCTGCTTATAATTTTAGGTGGGGTTTTTTTGTTTTGTTTTGTTTTGAAATTTGATTGCTTACTGAGAATCTGAACAAAATCTTTCCTGGTTAAATGAGAGACTGAACTCTAGTTAGCTCCAAAAGAGAAAGGACACTTCATTCCCCAACCTGAATCTCAGGTATTCTTAGGTGACTAAGAATCTTTGTGGAATTGCCTGAGGAAATATTTTCTCCAGGGTGTAAAGCAGTCATTCGATAGAGAGATTCACCATATCTGGCTCATCCAAAGATGGGCACACATAAAGGCTGAATTTCCCTAGAAGTTTGTTTAGACTCTAAAGATCTCAAAGGAAAACTAAAATTAACTGGGAAATTGTGCCTCAGAGGCCAACAAGTCCCACAACTGTCAGCCTACCATTAATACTTCTGCAGGATGCTTTGTTACTTCAAATCATTTTCAGGCACAATTAGAAAAAGCTGGCTGTAAAATTAGGCAGAATGAATGGAAAACATTTAATTGGTCTCTCAAAGCTTCAAAAAGAGGATTTAGATAAATGGATGGGGACTCACAGAACTTATGATGTACTTTAGGTGGCAATCCAATTATTTGAGGTATTAAAAATGCCTGTCCTGCTCTAGTGGCATTGGCTCAGTGGTTGAGCATCAATCTATGAACCAGGAGGTCACAGTTCAATTCCCAGTCAGGCCACATGCCTGAGTTGTGGGCTCCATCCCCAGTGTGGGGCAAGCAGGAGGCAGCCAATCAGTGATTCTCTTTCATCATTGATGTTTCTATCTCCCTCTCCCTTACTCTCTGAAATAAAAAAAATATATATTATAAATAAATAGATAAATAAATAAATATGCCTATCCTTATTTTAAAAGGGGGAAGGTCATTGGAACTTGACTTGTCAAGGACAGATACAAATTTTGTGTCTTCTTATCCCAACTGCCAAAACAAAATATGGATACAACTGTTCTTTTATAAGCTAGTTTTTCTCATGGCTAGAAAGTCTCTTTGTCTATGTGTTTCTATATATCTATATTGTAAATGTGAGGCAACTTTTTACTTCTGGATGATATTGTTAAAATTAAGCATATTGATGTTAATTGATTTTGAAGGCAAGCGTTTGTAATGATTGGGTATTCTAAAATTCTCAGAAATATAGAAACTAACCCAAAAGCTTTTCAAGTTCATGTGGTCTAAAATTACTCTTTAGTAAATAAACTTTGTTGGTTTAAGTAGAACAGAAATGTCTTTCAGGTTATTGACATTAAAGATTTGTTCTTTTGTTGTTTCTTTAATGTTAAATTGCATTAATGTAAATAAGTGGTAAAAAATGAATAACCAGGCCTGGCCTGTGTGGTTCAGAGGTTGAGCGTCAACCTATGAACTGAGAGGTCATGGTTCGATTTCTGGTCAGGTCATATGCCCCAGCTGTGGGCTCAATTCCCAGTGTGGAGCATGAAGAAGGCAGCTGATCAATGATTCTCTCTCATCATTGATGTTTCCATCTCTCTCTCCCTCTTCCTTCCTCTCTGAAATCAATAAAAATATGTTTTTTAAAAAAAAAGAAAAAAGAAAAGAAAATGCCAAGTAGGTGACCATTTCTCACAGGGAGCTCCCAGGAGACAATGACTTTAAAGATCACTAACTGCCACCTGGAGATTTTGTTTATTGGAAAGAACATCAAATAAAAGACACTTTCCAATTTCATCGGAAGGGACCTTATTGGGCACCTCACCAGGAAGGGACATCAACCCCTGTGTCTCTGACACTTGCCTCCACCTATAAGGGACACCAAAGACTCCTCTAGGTTGAGAAGCCCCTGACTTCAGAGGTGGACAGCTATCCAAAGACATCTACAAGGTCTGCATACCAACGAAGTGATGTTGAACTCGGAATCCATTTCCATTGTTTTTGTCTGCTAATAATAGTCATCATAATATTATACTTATTCTTTGGATTTTTTTCTATATAGTCCAACTCCTTATGATTACTGAACATATATAACTATTAATACTCTTTTCATGGCTTATGTGAATGTTATACTAGATGCAAAATACAAAAAGTGAGACAGAGGCAAAACGTGAATCATGCTAGCTCATAGGACAGAAATGACCCAGAGTTTTTCACAATGAAGGCCCAAAAGGCCTCACTGCCTTCCATTTACCTGCCCTTCCCTTTTGGAAAATTTGGCCTCAACTCACATCCTATGGTTATGGTACTGCCTCTTCCCCAGTGGCCCACCTTTTCAACAAAACAATGTTGATATTGAGACTTCCTAAGAGAAAACCTTCCTCACATTGTGATACCATACTATCCGACCAAAAGGTTGGTCATCAGTACAACCTCTGGACTGTTTTATGACCAAAAGGGGGAACTGGGAACAAAAAAAGGGGTTCTATGGAAAGTAACCTCACAGGGTGATCTGATCATACATTCCTACCTGGGCAGATCATGGTAGGTAGTCATGTCCCAGGCATATAACTTTTCCAGTAAAAGGTTTATTTTTGC